AGGGCTGCCCATTTTTATTTATTTAAAACATAAATCTATTTGAGTAAACTAAAAATATATTCCCTAAAGTCTGTTTCTTGCATATAAAATGAGTGGAATTTGCAGGGAGCTACTATTTATGGTGGTCACCTCAAGGGTTTACTGCTGTGGAGGTGCAAAAGGAGAATGGAAACCTTTTTATGCTCTACTTGTAAACTAATGGCATTTTTTTTTTTTATAATGCTCAGCCATTATGGTCATGCCTGTTAAAAACTATGATGACTAGAAAAGAAGCTACTTCAGTGGATCAGGTAAGAGGTCATGAACTAGGGTGGGACCAAGGAAGATGGATGTGAGGCTGAGCAGGAGGAAGAGTGTGCTGACCCTAGGAGATGGTGAGGGCTCCCACAGGGGGTGAATCCAGGGATCCTGTGAGAAAGCAGAGGGGACATATTGACCAGAAAGAGATCTGTGCTCTCTGCCTTGCCCAGGCCTCAGAGGGAATTCCTAACACTAAAGTCAAGAATGTTTTCAGTGACTTTTGAGAATGTGCTGGTCTAGGAGCACTTTCAGCCAAAGGCTATCATGGATACTGCTACATTCAAGAAGTGTCAACTTCCAGCAAAGAGAAAACTGAAGTTTGAGACATATATTTAAGAAGTTAGTAACAGAGAGGTCTCCTGACTCCACTCCAACTGATCACCCAGTCTCACCAGCACCACTCCCAGCTGTGCCCCCATATAATTGTTGTTAATGGTTTGGTGCAATTTCATTCATAATCTCTCTCTGTGTGTGTGTGTGTGTCACACTCACTCATGTAAACCCACATACAAACATCTCTTTATTTTATAAAAGTGGAATTATTCTAAACATTAAAATTTGACACTCGCCTTTTTTCCCCAAAAATAATACACCAGCGATATCTTTCTAGGACAAACACATAACTATTTCTCATGATTTTTAGTGGCTGGATTAAAAACAGTCCTCTATTACAGATATTTGGTTGGTTTTCATTCACTACAGAACCTTAGATTCAAAATAATCAACCGTACTATAATGATTTTAATGCAGTTTTCTAGTCTCCCATGACTCATACTATGTGATGCATGTAGTTTAATTATGCTTTGGAAATTATTTTTAACAAGGCAATAAAATTTTCATTAATAGGGTTCAATTCTCAAAGCACCAAGGAAACACAGTGTAGTTGGGAAAAAGCATTTTATAGTATTAATGGGGTCCTAGATCTTGCTTTGACCCATGGGTCTGCCATCCTGGTGGAATTAAGAATCACAGTGAGCATTCTTGCTTGGGAAGCACTACCCTAGATCAGTTATCTAGGGTATATTGTAGTTTCACAGAAGAAGACAAAACATCTTGCCAGGAATCATATGATGAACAATGGCAGCATAGCTCCCTGACACGCTCACTCTGTGCTCTGGCCCAGCCCACTCCAGCCCAGCCCAACTGTCAGGCTGGGAGGTTCACAGCAACAACAGAAGCTAGATGATAAGTAAAGGCATACTCTTCCAGGCTAAGATGTTATGTTGTCATGTTCAGAGAGGGCCTTCCATCCCAATGAGAATATCACTGCAGGGACAGGAGATGCTAGAAACAATTGGCAAATTTCCCAGGCCCCCTGAGGAAAACAAGCCAAATGAAATCATTTGACTCCATCTTATTTATGATATCGGAGTTTTTGACGTCCACTATTAGAGAAGGAAATAGAACTAATGGTGGCACAAAAAGAGACTTTTTGAGAGAATTCCCTCAAAAAGAGAGTGTACTGAACACTCCATTTGTTGAACAGTGTTTACCAAATACCTAAATCAGTATTTGTGTAATTACTGGTTAATTGTTAATTTCCCCATTAAAAAGGTAAGTTCCATGAGGCTGGGACCTTGCCTTATTCATATAGTCACACTTTCTCCCATTGGGGGAGATATTCCACATATGAGTGGAATATAAGAAACAAAACAAATGAACAAACAAACAAACAAAAGAGGCAAAAAAACTCCCCAGACTCTTAAATACAGAGAACAAATGGGGGTTGACAGAAGGGCAACAGGAGAGGATGGATGAAATAGGTAAAAAAGAATAAGAGCTACAAACTTCCAGTTACAAAATGAATAAATCATAAAGATGAAAAGTATGGCATAGGGAATATAGTCAATAAAATTGTAATAACATTGTATAGTGACAGATGGTGGCTACACTTACCGTGGTGAGCATTAAGTAATATATAGAATTATTGAAGTAATTGTGTGTACACTTAAAAGTAATATAACACGGCAAGTTAATAATACTCCAATAAAGAGTATAAATGCAAAAAAGTTAGAGAACTGATTTTAATCACAATTGCACTAAATTTTACAAAGAAGAATTGGTTTGATGGGATCAGAGACAGCTTCTGGAAAAAGGAAAGAACTGAGCTAAAATCTGAAAGATAGGCAGGGGAGGAGGGGGTAAAGGAGTTTTCCAGGCAGATGGAGGAGCTAAGGTCCTGGGATGGCTGAGCACAGAGCGCTGGAGAGAAAGAAGGCCAGGACAGCTTGCAGCCCAGGGAGTGAAGCTGGCAAAGGGCATCAAGTAAGGCTGGGGACACGGACAGAGACAGATGGCACAAAACCCTACAGGCCAAGGTGTCTGGTCTTGAGCCCCAGTTGGATGACAGCCATGAAAGGGTCTCAGGGAAAGGAGCACTAGATCAGAGTTGCGCAGTGTGAGAGCTTGTAAGAGGGGAGCAGATTGGAGGAGGATAAAAGAGATGTGGAGAGAACTAGAAGGTTGCTGAAGTGCCTATGCAAGAGATGACATTAGTTTGGACTAGGATGAAAATGATGAAAAGAAACAGAAATACAGTTGGATCTGTTTGGGAAGGACAATCAGTAGGACTTATTGTTTAAATGCAGGGGATAAGGAAAGACCACATTAAGAATACCCAATTTCTGGATAATGCATCTGCTGGAGCAGCTATTCACTGAGGAGGTCCACGTTCCGTAAGAAAGATCAGAAGGCGCGTGAATAGTTGTGGGAAACTGAATTAACATCCACTGGCATTGTATCTGTGCCTAGCCAGGCCGAGGACTGGACTCTCTAACTTAATCCTAACTGCAATCCTATAAAATAGATGCTATTGCCCCCAGTATAGAGATGAGAAAACTGAGACTCAGAAGAGCTTAATAACTTGCCACCGTTCTCCGAGCTAAACATTGGCAGAGCTGGGATTCGAACCCAAATCTCTTCAGTTCTAAAGCAGATGGTTGTTAATGATCAACTCATACTGCTTCATGACAACTCCCGACTACTAGGGGAGAATTTCATGAATTTAAAAGAGCCCGATGGTTCATCTGGAACTCTGAAGCCAAATCTCCCTGTAGGGAAACTTCAGTCCCCTTAGGGCTGCTCAGAGTAAAATTTCCATATCAGGAAGATGATTCTACATGTCCCCCTATTCTTTACTCCCTACTCAGCTCATTCTCTTCCCCTTGCTTTTGCCCAAAACTGAAGGTTACCTCCACTTGCCATGATCACCTCTGCTTTGCCTTCTCCACGTTCCTATATCACTTTCAGTCTCAGCGCTCATTTGGGCAATGATCACATACAGGCAACCCTGTAAGATTTCCTTGTGCCTTACATTTTATTTCTTCTCATGTGAACTTTCATACTCTGTGTAGTGACTGTCTTAGAGACTTTCATGTACTGAAATCAGATTGTTGTAAACAAGCTAATAAACACAGACTTCAAACTATGACATGCTATGGGTCTGGCTGCCAACCAACAGTTCAGTTTTACCAATGTCACTATCTGTAGCTATAGAGTCAGTCTCATTACATGTGCATGTAACTTCAGCACATTCAACTACATGTTCTTTGTAGGGCAAGAGAGAGAAAGAAGTCGCACACTTTAAGTAGAGCTCGCCATTATACTTGCCATTCCAATCAATAAGCACCTGTCCCATGGGATAGGAGATGAATCTGCTGTTCCTGCAGCTGGGTTCAGGCCCTTAGGACCTTCCCCAGTGTGAGTAATTCTCTGGACAGACTCTGATTTTCATGTTTAAAGACACATACTTTGGATGCATCACAATCTCTAATTTTAGTCAACTGCTTTTCCCATCCCACAATTAAAGAAACAGTGACCCAACCCTAGACCAGAGGAAAAATTGGGCCTGTTGGACTCTTTTAGAGACAGGAAAAGTTTGTCACTGGTAATTCTGATAACATATGACTTGCATACCACACTTGCTTTTAGGACTAAGATACCCCTAAGATACGAACACCGAGATGGTGGCCTATGATCCTGTAATCTTTAAATTATATTCTGCTCTTATTGCGGAATACAAATGTGTAGGAACTGGAAAACAAGTCCTAAGACAGCTGATTAGTGTACATCTCAAACAAATAAGACAAAGATGGAAATCATTAGGCCTCCTGAAGTCAAATGTGAAGAAAAAGAACAAAACTATACAAAAGAATTAAATGCTAGCTTCGCATCCCCCCCCCCACAAGCAATTAATAGGGATTTTATAATTAACTTTCAGGAAAAGATCCTCCAAGTTGCATGTGCATACCTAGATAAACACATAAAATTATGATACAGACACTTTTTTCCAGAGGAGGTCATGTTTAAATATCAGACTCTCATTCTGAACCAGCCCTACTGACTAGGGGCAGGTGCATTAATTCTTGCTCCCTCCGAGTTTTGTTCACACCATGAGTATAAAATGCAGAGCTCTCCAGTAGACCTGATTACCAGTGCCTGTCACTATCTAGATTGTGAACTCCCCGCAGGCAGGTTCTAAGCCTTACAAACCTCTGTGTCTGCAAGACCTCAGAGAGGGCTCAACTAAAAAGGAGCCCTCTGCACAGACTGGAAAGTAGGGGAATCAGGGAATAACCAGATCTATCTCTCTGAGATTCATCACTTCTAAGGAATTAGGGAAGAAAGAAAGGCATGGTCCAGTAGCCATCAGGTCCTTGCCCCAACATGGAGCTCTGCTGGGCACACTGCTCTGCTCTTACCTGTCCAGGGAAATGCAGCACAGGTGAAAAATCGATGCTGTCGTGAGCAGGACATCTAGAGATGTCCGGACGAGGCAAAACATCTCCCCATAAATCCAGATGTCTTGAACCAGCTCAATGGCACCAAAGGGCATCACCAGCACAGAAACCAGCAGATCCACAAAGGCGAGAGATACAATGAAATAATTGGTTTTTATCTTCCTGTGAGTGAAAAAGTAGAAGGGAGAAGGCAGGGGGAGGGGAGGAAAGGAAAGGGAGAGAGAAAGGAGCAAGAGAGGAAAAAGGAGGAGAGGGAAACAAAGAAAGAAAGAAGGGAGAGAGACAAAGGAAAGAGAAGTCAAGCACAATGTGTTCTGTGAGATTCTCTTTTCCATTCTGTCTGACGGTGTGCAAGGTCCAGCCACCCCTGCCTTCTCCAGACCCCTTGCCACCCAAATCCCTCCCATCCTCTTCCCTGAGGCCCCATGAGTGGACTCCCTCCAAGGGCCTCTACACAGTCTGCTTTCTCTCCCTACCCTTTCTCTCCTCTGCCCTTCCCTTCAGGCTGTGGTTTGGTTATTCTCAGGGACCCCCCCCCCACTAGGCTCCCTCCTCACAAATGGTGTTAAATTCCATTGTTTTCCACTCTTTGATTGACTACTGTGTGCCTCAAATTTGTGACACTGGTCAGAATTGTGCTTTTACACTTTCTTTGCATCATCCCTGGATTAGGGCCTGCCTCACTTGGGGAAGAAGGCTACAGATAAGGCAGGACTGCATTTTTTATGTCCCTTTATGGCCTGGTGGCTCTCGATCCAGGCTGAACACTAGAATCACTTGGTGAATTTTTAGAAATATTGATGCCCATGTCTCTCCCCAGATCAATTAGTTCAGAGACTTTGGGTGATTAACCCCCCTAGCCACTCCTAGGCCCCCAGGGTTTCAGATAAAAATATAGGACTCCTAGTTAAGTTGCAATTTCAAACAATGAATAACCATTTAGTATAAGTATGTTTCAAACACTACATAAGACATACTTATACTACACATTAGCAATTTTCAAAAGGTCTTCAGGTGATTTTAATTGCAGCTAAGTTGAGACTCGAAGTAGAAAGAGTGGAAGACACAAGTTTAAATCCTAGATCAGTCACTGGGCAGTCACCCCTTTTCTGAACCATTGATAAAGTGGGGAGGTTAGATTAAATATGCCCTTAACAGTTATATGTGTATATACAGTAATCACACCTATTACCAAAACCCCCAAAGTTGAACACAAGAAGAAAGACGGGACAGAGATGCATGTTAAGTGCTTACATTGGCTACGTCAGTAAAGGGGAATTATGTGTCATCTTTCCCCTGCTCTATTTTACAACATTGTTTCCCTTTTATAATTATAAATTGTAATGGAACTCATAGTTTGGACCCCAGCTCTCCGTGGAGAGCCTAGAACTCCACCCTGGTTTCCTCCTGAGGTCTCCTCCTGCTACTCACCTGAGCTGCCTGTCCCTGCACACAGCCACCATCACCAGCAGGTTCCCCAAGATGGCCATCAGGATAACCGCTGAGAGAAACGTGAGCAGCACGACTTTCTCCACTGAACCAAAACCCTCCTTGGAACTGGAAGAAACACATGCACACATGCACACATGCACATACACACACACACAGAATTAAAGGAAACTCTGAGATACAGAAAAGAATATTAATTTTTTCCTAACTTATCTTCGGGAAGGTAACTTTACCATTAGCAGCTGTAATACACATTTATTGTGCACCCAGTGTATATGCCACTATCTATACCCGTCACTTTACATGCTGTCCTAGTTAACCCCTATATTGCAAGGAGAAGGCTAAGAGAGGTGAATTTTCTATCTTAAGATCACACAGTTATTCTGCAATCTGAGAACTTGTGACTTTCCTTCAGAGCACTGACCTCAGCTCACATTCAGAAATGTGTTTGGTTGACTCCTGTTTTGTGCCCTCCCCAAATGCAAACTCCACGAAGCAGAGGCCTTGTCTGTTTTATCCGCTGATCAATTCAATTTCAATGCATCACTCATTTGTCAGATGAAGGAAAGATGGCGTTGGATGAATGAATGACAGTAACTTGAACCAGGGTCTGTGTGAATACAGAGGCCACCTTGTCTCCTGAACCCCATCCCTGTCCATGCGGAAGCTGCTATGTACAGGTGGGCTGTCCAAGGGAGAGATCATGGCTTGAAGGTTCTAACAAAGTTGACCCGAATAAACTGATCAGATTCTGTGAAGTCCATTGCAAAGACAGCAGCCAATCAATATGTTCAGGTGCTCCTTTCACTGCCCTGAATCCTATTTCTTCTGGTCCCCAACATCCCAGCCCAAGACTGTGTTCTTGTCAATTTCAGCATCTAATTTGGTTCTCTAAACCCTGCCCTACTAGTGCAAACTCAGCATTTTGTTTTATTGACTTGGAAGCAAGTGTCCCCATCAATGAAAGCATAAAATCTGCAGGCTGTCAATAAGCTGTGAGAAAAAGTTTTATTTTTAATAGAGTAGTAATAAAATGTTCTTTTTAAATGAAGTTTCAAAGAACCTCAAAATGCTCAGACACAAACCCTACATTATAATATGGAGAAACAGGTCCAGAGAGGAGAACTGAATTGTCAAAGTATATTAGTGTCTGGTCTGGGAGAAGCTGCTTGTCCTGTGAGCCCACCCCTGGGAACATAAGGTCCCAAGAAGCAAGAAACAGCTATCTTTACTGAGCTACTTCAACTGAAAACCAAGATGGCTGTTGGCCCCAAATGGCAGCAGCCCACCAAGTCCTAGCTCTGGCCTCATCCAAAATTTTTTCCAGTATGCCTGGCATGGAAGACAAGGTTATTACAGTGGTTGGAGAACCAGCAAGTTCCTCCACTCTGCTAATAAGTGTTTTGATTAATTGATTGCAGTTATTATGGTTAAGGTTTCATGAAAAGAAATTCAACATATGTTCATCCAAATCACTCTTTCACACCTAAACTCCAACTACCAACATGTTACAAATATTAGATAAGGAAGATTTAATTCAAGAGGAAAAATGCTTCTGTAGGATGATATGGCTACCTCAAATTAATTTGATCTTAGGTTATGTTAATGCAGGTATAATGTCTAACAAAGCAGGTGACAGTGGTTTTTCTCCTTGTCCTTCTCAGAGGCTCTGACCGAGAGCCCTTCTGAAACATGTCCTCCCAAAGCCTCTGTACTTGCTGTGCCTTTCTCCTGGACTGCTTCTTTAGTGGCTGGCTTCTTCTCATCATTCAGGTCTCAGATTAAAGTTAATCCCCCTTGAATGTGCCACGGTCAACAAACATTTTGCTTTTCTTTATAGCACTTGTTATCTGAAATGACTTCTGTTGTTGATTACTGTCTGTGTCCCACCCCCACAGAATGACTTTGGTTCTCTTTTTCACTGCAATTCCCAGATCCTAGCACAGTGTCTAATCTGCAATGTATGTGTACAGGTATGTGTAGCACATGGGAAGTACTCAATTATTTTCTAATTAAGTGAAAGAAAGACATATTGTATTCATAATGGTGAGGTTTATTCTTCAATGTCTTTGAAGACTGGTCTTTGAAGGTACAAAGGAGATTTTACCTAGAGAAGAGAAGACACACAGATAAGACACAAAAGCTATTTTTAACTATCTGAAGCCCTGTCAGTTGAAATAAGAGTAGATTTATGCATTCGTTCATTCAACAACATTTTCTGAACACCTACTCTGCAGTAGGCACTGTTGCATGTCTTATGGAAGCAGAAATAAGTGAAACAGAGAATAGACAATGAATAGATAAATGAGAAAATATGTAAAGTATCAGCCAGTCATATACACTATGGTAAAAAAAAATCTAGGAAGGACAGGAGGACAGGCCTGCCAGAGGGGGATGAAGGGTTAGCTATTTAATAGTTGTCAGAGAAGGCACTGTGATAGGATTGTCACAATTGACGCCCTGAAGGCTGCACAACTAAGCGGAACCAGTGATCAGGTTGTAAGCAATGGTTCTCAACTTATTACATATTAAGACAAATACCATATGATTTCACTCATATATGGAATTTAAGAAACAAAACACAGGGGAAGGGAAAGGAAAAGAAAATGAGCTAAGAACAGAGAGGGGGACAATCCATAACAGACTCTTAACTCTAGGAAAGTGAGGGTTGCTGGAGGGGAGATGGGTGGAGGGATGGGGTAACTGGGTATCAGGCACTAAGGACTGTACATGATGTAATGAGCACTGGGTGTTATATGCAAGGATGAATCACTAAATTCTACCCCTGAAACTAATATTACACTATATGTTAGTTAAATTGAATTTAAATTAAAAACACTTTAAAAAAAATCACCTAAGAAGCCTTCACAAATGCTGGTATATGAGCTCCAATCTCAAAGACACTGATTTAATTGGTCTGGGTTTTGCAGCCTAAATATTGGAATTTTAAAAAGCTCTCAAGTGATTCTTATGTGCAACCAAGGCTGAGAATCACTGCTAGAGGGAGGCCTGGGTGGCTTAGCAGTTGAGCGTCTGCCTCTGGCTCAAGGTGTGATCCCAGGTCCTGGGATTGAGTCCCATTGGGCTTTCCATGGGGAGTCTGCTTCTCCCTCTGCCTATGTCTCTGCCTCTCTGCGTGTTTCTCATGAATGAATGAACAAATGAAATCTTTAAAAAAAAGAGAGAGAGAGAGAATCACTGCTAGAGAAAGGTAAGATTTAGTAATGGATAATAAGGACTTTCTGACAACTGATGATGGTCTGCAATAGTTTCCTGGAGTTGTTTTGAAATCCCAGGCTTAGGAAATGTTTAAGAATACCTAGATGTCACTAAGCCACCACTTAGCAGCCCTTAAGATGGCTATTATAAAAATAAAATAAAACTGAAAAATAACAAGTGTTGATAACCATGTGGGGAAAGTAGAACCCTTTGCACTCTGATAGAAATGTAAAATGGTGCAGTCACTGTGGAAAACCATTTCTCGGAAGATACTTTCTCAAAAGTGTCTTAAAAAACTAATCATGGAATGACAAGATGATCCAGTAATTTCAGTCCTAGGTACATACCCTAAAGAATTGAAAGCAGGGGCATAAATGAGTATTTGTATACCTGTGTTTATAGCAACATTATTCACCACAGCCAAAAGGTGGAAACAATCCAAGTGTCCATCAACAGACAAATGGATGAACAAAATGGGATATATACATATTATGGAATATTATTCAGCCATAAAAAGAAATGAAGTCCTGATACAAGCTATAATATGGATAAACCTTAAAAATATTATGCTTAGTGAAATGAAATAATGCAGACAAAAAGACAGATATGCATGATTCTGCTTATATGAAGAGACTACAATACGCAAATTCACAGAGACAGAGAATAAAATAATGGTGATCAGGGATTTGGGTGAGTAGGGGATGAGAAGTTATTTAGTGAGTACAGAGTTTATGTTAGGAAGAGGAAAAATTCTGGAAATAGATCGCGATGATGGTCGAAGACTTTCATGAATGTACTTACTATCAGTGAATTACACATTTAAAATGGTTATTGTACATATTAATAGTAAATTTTATGTTATGCATATTTTATCACAATGAAAAAAGGTTACATGGATGACCACGTATCAGGATACTGTATAGGGCTCCTATGTTGGAGGCAGGTTGGACTGGCTGATTTTAGGTTGCTTTCTTGTCTATGGACAATGAGCTGAATAATATTATTCTTAGAACATGGATTCTCCATCAATCACATCCTCATCATTAGAACCATTTCCCCTGTACTGCCTTTCCTTTTGTAGGAGGAAAAAAAAAAAAAACAAACAGATTCAGGGTATGTAGTGAACACCTCTGGTACCAGAGAATTTATATTTCAAATCCAAAGGATATGTAGGATCAGAGAATCCCAAGTTCTGTATAAAGGTTCATTTGTGGCATGCCAATTAGAAGCTAGAAATAGCTAAACTTTAAACTGTAAGTGACAAGCAAAATTTAGTCACAGAAGCTTTTCTAATTAAACAGAACTGCCCACTGAACTAAATGTAAGTCTAGTAAGGATAACTAAAATAAATCAGGAACCATTTCAGCAAAATCTGTGTTAGATCCTTGGGTTACCTTTGACATCATCCAACCACTCCCTGTCAACCACTACTAAGCAGTCCTCATCTGGCCAAAGAGCTGTCCACTCCACTACACTGGTTCTTTGACAATTATTCTTATGAAAAATTTTCCTTTCTCTTCGTTTTTAAAAAAATATATGTATTTTTTTTTCGAGGGGGGAAAGGAGAGGAAGAGTAGACTGTGCTGAGCATGGAGCCCAATGTGGGGTGCGATTTCACAACCCTGAGATCATGACCTGAGCTGAAACCAAGAATCAGACACTTAACCACCGTGCCACCCAGGTGCCCCTCCTTTCTCTTCTATACTTTTTCAGTGATCTCTTGATCTATTAATAAAGAAACACTACAAACTTGTTGGCTCTGTGTGCCATTTTCTCTGCTCTTAATAAGAGAAAATATATAACAATAATTCTGGATAAATTTCCACATAGGTTAGTATATAAAAATAAATTATAAATGATAAAATATAATAAAATAATCGTTGCTATTAATATCAGAAGCCCATATAGTGACAACAGCTAAAGAAGTTTTAACTTTGTTACATTATCCAGAACAATTGGTTTCAAGGTCACATCTTTATCCATTCCCTATCCACGGACACTTAGGCTGCTTCCATATCTTGGCTCATGTAAATAATGTTGCAGTAAACATAGAGGTACATGTATCTTTGCAAATTAGTGTGTTCATTTTCTTTGGGTAAATACCCAGAAGTGAAATTATGGATTGTATGTTATTTCTATTTCTAATTTCTTTTTTTTAAACATTTATTTTTTAATTTTATTTATGATAGTCACAGAGAGAGAGAGAGGCAGAGACACAGGCAGAGGGAGAAGCAGGCTCCATGCACCGGGAGCCCGACGTGGGACTCGATCCGGGGTCTCCAGGATCGCGCCCTGGGCCAAAGGCAGGCGCCAAACCGCTGCGCCACCCAGGGATCCCTATTTCTAATTTCTTGAGGATCTTCCATACTGTTTTGCATGGTGGCTACACCAATTTACATTCCTGCCAGCAGGGCACAAGGGCTCCTTTTCCTTTACATGCTCACCAGCACTTGTTATTTCTTGTCTTTTTGATGCTAGCCACTCTG